AAAACAAAAACAAAAACCTGAGACATATGAACCTAACTGTGAAGTGGGTACACCATCACAAAGGGAAGCACTACTTCCCGTAATTTTAAAACTATTTATTGACAACATATCCCTGGTAGGACATATTATAAAGACTTTTTAAAAATCCCAACCAATTTTAAAACTGTAGTCAATAGTCCTGTTGTTAACAATCATGTCAATATCACCTACAGAAACTACACTAAGCACATGGGCATCAGGTGAGAAAATTACTTTCTCCACAATTAACTGTCTTCCAGCTTAGCTCTGGCCCACAAGGCTGGTGTGAGTCCCTCGGGATCCTTTCTGACCCTGCTAGAAATCATCCTTCCTTCCTCATTCTAGCATCCCCAGTGCCTGGCTCACAGCAGGCCTCCAGTTTGAAATGAAGTCCCAGGCCCCAGGATCCTACTCAGATTCCCCCAACTCACAGCCTGTCCAATATCCAGGAGGCCTCAGTCCTATCACTTACTTCTGGAGGCTTCCTCTGGTCTCTGTCCCAGCCCCTCCCAGGCCTGTGCGTTCTAGGCTCTTCACGCCTTTCATCCCCTCTGCTCCAAACCCACACTCCCACCTTGTTCCACCACGTCAATAATCATTTACTGTTCGTAAAGGGATCCTTAGGTCCCTCATTTTATTTAATTCTCCCCTTACCTCTTTTTCAAAGCTCAGTTTTACACATCATAAAAATGTCATCAGAGATGAAATGAAGTCATCTATCAAGGCCCTTCTGCTGGTGAATGAGGTAGCTTGTCAAAAGTCATTTGGATGGCTATTGCTTCAAATCCCCTCCTAACCATATTGATTCAAGCAAATCCTTCATTCATCCATTTACTGATTCAAAATCCACTTACTGGCCATGGGAGGCACGGTGTTGGTGCCAGAAACACAGAGGTGAATGAAGAATGTAGACGCCGTCCTCCAGGAATAACGGAGGCTCCATTGTACATCTGTCAAAATGGAAATAAGAGCTGCCTCTACCTCCAGTGCGAGACTACTCAGAGATCAAAATAAAAGGACACGTAACTACATGTATAGTTAGCATATATGTAGATGTACAGAGATAGTTTGCACCAACAGCCTAGGAAAATCTTCAGGATAGCCACGAAATTTCCAGACGCTGACCTAGCCAATTACCCAGAGGCCTCGGGGAAACACAACTTCTTCCGAGAACGTGGAAGTCCACGGAGGTTCATTAAGCACCAAGCAGGGGCTCTAGCCTGTGCTGAGCAATGAGGGGTTCCTCCCAAAGTGTGAGACGGGACCAGGAATATGTGCCAACTCTCCTTGGGTTCAAGGTAAACGTCTGATGGCCCTGGTGGGTCCTTTCAGAGGGAGGGCCCATGGTAGGATGCAGACTTGAACTCTTTTAAACATGTGGGCTTACAAGACAGATCGGAACTTGAATCCCAGCCCTGCCATTTACTAGCTAGTAACTCTGGACAAGTTCCTTACCTGAGCTGCCTCAAGTGAAAAATAAATGTAAAAATAGTACCTTCTGGAACCATTGGGGAAATTAAATAAGGTAATGTATAGGAAATGCTTAAAACAGAACCTCAAACATAGTAAGAACTCAGTAAGTAGCCCCTGGCATTAAGTTTCTTCTGTGATAGCCCAGGTCTTGGGGTGTCTCATGAGCCTAAAAGATGCCCATGTCTTCCACAACACCCAGGGCAGTCAAAGATGCTTGGTTTGGAGATGCAGGAGTGCCCTTCCCCAGTCCCTAGCCCCTGCAGCCCCAAGTGCAGATCTCCCTGTCTGCAGGGCTTGGCTCCAAGGAGTCCAGCTGGGTGCATCTGGCTAGGGAGATTAAATTATTTTTGAATTCCTAACTGAATGTTCTTTTAATGGAAACTCAATGACAGGCATTGAAATAGATTTCCTCCATAACCCCTCCTCCCGCGGCGCCCCCCCCCCCACGGCTCTGTGTTGCGCTGTTCCCGATAACCTTTATTCCCTACCCCTGGACTTTTATCTCCCCAGTGACAAACAGCCCTTGCTGGACAGAAAGAGGAAATTCCAGTCATTGTTCTCAAACTTCTGGCTTCCAAAATAAAATGCTCTATCTCCCCTGTCAAGCTTTGATTGACACGCACTTCCTGTAATGGCAGACAACAACGGCCCAGGGGCGGGCTCAAGGGCTTATTTGCATTCTTCGCATCAGAGGTTTTCAAGTTTGTTCTAGATGGGGAAAGATCCCCGGTACTATGCACCGAACCTCCCTTGGAGAAGCCATGCCCCATTTTGTGGAAAAATCTCCAAGGAAGCCACCTCCACTGTCCACGCAGTCCACCAGCAAAGTTCTTTGCTGTCCTGTGACTCCCCCATTAGCCATGGAAAGAGACACTCGAATCCTCTCACTTCTTAGATTTGGCAGCTTAGAGAGGCTCTCTCTTTTTTTTTTTGTTTTTTTTTGAGAGGATCTTTTCCGTCTACCCTTTCTCTCTTAGAAAATAAATTTGTAGATCATCTCTCAAATCTTAAATCTGAATATTGGCACCAGAGTGGACCCAAGTCCTGGGACATTAAACCAGGTTGGGACTCTCCAAATTAAAACCCCAATAGCAAGAAAACTAAATTAGGCACTTCAAAGGGAGTCAGTACCAAGGAAAACTCTGAATATGGTACAGTGTGATGGTATGCAATTTTTCTTGGAAAGAAAAAGAAATACTGGAATAGATAATTCAGTAAATCTAACAATATGGCATACCTGTAGCAATTACAGTGCTAATATGGTCTGCTCCTCCTGGGAACAATGTTGTTTCATTGGAATAAAAACCCTGCCTTTAGCGTTGGCATTTAGGCAAGTTAGCCTTCTGAAACCTTCTATTTCCCATTTATTTTCTTTACTCACTGAGATTCTATGTCTTCAGTCACCCCCTGTTTTTAAACGTCCAGGTTTTTTATGCTGCTTTTGGGTTCCAGCCATCCCCTTAGGATTATTAAAAGGTCCTGTGGACCCTCATTTCCTCAGGGTTTTATTGGATATAAGTATATTAATGGTTGCTAGAGTTTGGATGGGAATTTTCATGAAGAAAGAGAAGCCAGCTAGCAGAATGCCTTAATCCTTATAAAGGAATATTTGAAAGCACAGATTTCCACTGAATAACCTAGAAGGAGATGCCAATCACAAAGATTCCAGTTGTTCAGCTCTCTTAACCATCAAAAGGACTAGATTTACAAGATCATTTCACTTCCACCAATTCCCGAGCATGCTGTTAATGAGCAGAACAGACCAGAAGGAATATGTTCTGACCCGCCAGTTTGTGAAGGGACTACAGAGCCATAAAACTTCATGACAGTGGGCCAGCAGAGAATTCTGGCTTCCTTGGGCTTGCCATACCTCATTTCCTTTAGCTTTGTCAATAGACCAAATTGCAGGGCCAGCACACTTAGAGGCATGGACTAATCTCTCATGTAGGCCTGTTGCATCTAGCGTTAAGGCCACTGACAAAGTGCACAACTCTTAGCCCATCAGACTTTGTACTGGTCTTGCTCAGAATGACCAGAGCATGTGTATGAATCTGAACAAACTCATACCAGGTCTGGGAAGACATAACCATCATCAGTGAAAACTGCCACCACGCCATTTTGTGTGCCCAAGACACACTGGAGTGATCATCAGGAATGGCACAGAAAGAGGCATGTCTGTAACCACAGGGTCATTTCCTCCAGGGTGAGCTGGCATCCAGACAACATATGGTCCTATTTGCCATCTTCCCATCTCACCCACGTTGCCCAGGAGAAAGTCCACCCTCAGCAAGAGGGATGTCCCCTATTGGTCTGTTACAATTAACACACAATAACTGACCTTTTTGGAACCATGTGCACAGTTTCAGAAATTTAATTTATGAATCAACACACTGAAAACATTTTGATTCCTAAGGTGCTTTGAGTCCCATTCCTTCCAGAATAGATTCAAAATCATGGAGGTGGAGGACCGAATGAGACATTCATAGTAAAACCCTTCCCTAAAGATCAATCCCTATATTAAATTGGTCCCTTTGAGGAAGATGTCTTGTTGGCCCTCAGAGGAAAACATACCTCATGTTTGCCTCCCTGTGGGGTCACAGACCCTTTCCTCTCCACAAGTCTTCTTTAGCAACGCATTTCAGTACAAACTCAAGGCACAAAAACACAAGATAATTTTTCTCTCAGAAGCACTGGAAGTGCTCTCCCTCCTAAGGTGACATTGTGCCTTCAAACTCTTCACTGCCTTCGTGGAAGGCCAGGAAATATTCTTTCAATGGATTTGTAGCCCCTTATCCCACTTAGCACAAACTGGAAGAAATATCACCATTTTCAAATCAAGCATTCTTTCTTTAGGAAAGTATTCATTGAGATTCTAGGGTGATGATTTATCCTCTGTCTAAATGTACCATGTGATATCATTTAGACCAAAACCCAACTTGGGCTGCAGCATCTGGATGTGCTATAAAGCAGGTTAAGCTCAGTGTTCCTCCCCACGTTGATACGTAGAGATGCAAAGTCGGTGACCTGAGCCTTCCCTTGCTCTTCAGGAAACACAACATGACCCAGACTAAGATGGAAGCTCCAAAACCAGGGCTGGAGAAGCTCAGAGCCTCACAAATGTTCTTGGAGTACCAGTCTTTTCTTACCATCTCTGATTAGTTCATCTCCTCCAACTAACCAAAAACGGCTCTCTCAAGGGAGACCATTTTTCCCTTGATAAAAGCCACCAATGTTAAAATAAAAGTGGCTTGTTTCTTATCAGTAGAATCAAAATGAGAGTATGGTTTTCCCCTGATCCTTTCTAAAGCTCATAACTTCTTTAAGGAGACTTTTAAGATCTCATTTGGCCTGTCCATGAAACTTTTGAGGATTCTGTTTCTATTAACACTGCATGATTTCAAATAATTGTATTCAAGATTCCAAGTGAACTCCTATGGCTTCCATACTGCCATTTCCTATAAGAATATTGCATGTTCTAATGCAGTTGCCTTGTAGAGCTATATGTCTTATAAGATTGTGGCTGTGAGGTTCAAGGGGCATGGTGCTGATAGACATTGAAGGCTCTTGTTCTAATTTCATATCCTCAAATTGTTGATTGTTTCCTAATACTTCTAGTCACTAGGTATCTTCAAGAATTCACTTTACTCCTGTTGAAAAACCACTGTCACATCTTGGTGTCATCTGTTTCACTGACTTCTGACAAACTGAAGTTGGGATTGTCATAGCCTCTCTTTATCCTGGCCCTAGCATCTCTCTCATTATAAAGGCACAAGGCACAATGAGGGGTCTCAACTTCCACAGTTTTGCTAAAGTTATGGAAATCCACTCGGTATTTCCCTTCCTTAGTCTTGGATACTATGGGAGCAAAACGGTAACCCCAGAGCACCTCTTCTGGGACATAGGATGTCCGGACTTGGCAGGTAGCACTGGTTGATTCCACTGTGCCATCTAAAAACACCACTAATTCAAAGTCTTGTTGGGGAAGGGTTTCTGCTGCCATGTTGAAGAATGGGCTGTTTTGATCAATGACATGGTAAATTGTCAATGGGGAGATGAAGAATAAATTTTCATTCCCTGCATCAACTACAAAGTTGATATTGATCTGGTCCAAAATAATGGTCTCTCCTTCAGGAGTGACTGTGGTCCTCAGGAGCTTTCCATATATGTGGCTCCCAATAAGGAGGCTCTTCCTAAGATTAGCCACACGGATTAGGAGACAAAGCTTCCCACCCCGTTTACTGATCACTGCATTCTTGCTGAAGGTAATGGTCTTGGCACGTTTCTTGGGTCTGGAGATCTTGGCTAAAATGGCACCACACATGAAAGAATTGATGATGACTCCAAGTATAGACTGGAAGATAAGGAGAAAAATGGCAGTGCCACATTGTTCTGTCACACACCTGAATCCATATCCAATGGTCACTTGTGTTTCCAGAGAAAACAGAAAAGCTGAGGTCAAGCCATTAATGTTCTCCACACAAGGGGTGTGGTTGACAGAAGGATGGAACTCAGGGAGATCTTTGTGGATGTAGGCTACCGCATACCACAGAAGACCAAAGAAGAACCAACTCCCCAAGAAGGCTGAAATGAAGATGGTCATTTTGTATCTCCATTTGAGGTCAAGCACAGTTGTCCAGATGTCCACAAAGAATATAAACCTTGACTGGGCCTCCACATTGCCAAACTCTATGTTGCATCTTCCATCTTTGGAGACCAGCCTGGCTCTTTGCCGAGAATGCCCAAAAAAGTGAGTGACAAACCATTTCCGAAGATGTTTGAACATTCTTTCTGTCAACACTCTGATCTGAAATACATCAAAAACAAACAAAACAAAATGATGTTTACAGCAACAGTGGACTAGGTGACTCATATATACTTCACATATATGAAAGACCATTCAAAACAATCTGATTTACTGATCATTAAGGAAAGCTGACCGTTTATTCTGGATACAACAATACTATTTTCCAACTGAAACTTTCCACCAGAAGATCATATTGCTTAACTATAAAGAGGAAAAATAATTATAGAGAGATAGGAATGGAAGGAACTTTAGACGGCATGTATTCAAGTGTTTCCTGACCTTAATCAGTGGCACACAAACTTAAAAATGTACATGATAACCAATCTATGACCTGTATTATGATTTATCTGATATTATTCTTTAAATCGATTCTCCTTTTACTTTAATAAAGTTTTGCCTTCTGCTAAGCAAAAATAGCTGTGAAAGCAGAAGCTGGAAAGACCGTTTGTATTTTTTGTAATATATAAAAATAAATAACCATTAAAAGGGTTCATCAATATACTACTTAAACCATCCTCTTTCCTGCCATTCTCACTCAATGGTAAAAGAAATCTTGTCCCAATTATTGTCCCACTTATCCAGTGAAGGCACTGAGATTCAGAAAATTTTAATAGTATAGTCAAAGTCATGTACTAACCAGTGGCAGGATGACAGCTAAAAACATAAACCATAAGGTTCCCTGCTTCCAGTCCGGAGGAACCTCTAATAGGCTGCATCTCAGCTATTAAATTTTATATTCTAAAGTCAGATTTGCCTGAAACATTTTAAGACAATTATTGGTCACCTTCCTTTTTTTCTTTTTTAAAATGCTTGAGACTATTTAGAACAGAGCTCCTTAATACAGTTTGGCCAAGTCCTACCATATGATCCCAGGAGTTTGCTCAATGGATGTACAAGCCTCTTTCCTTTTTCTCTCCATGATATGCCAAGATTCCTAAGAGGAATAGTATGATGGTCACCATCAATATCTCATGCTTTCTTCCCTGCTTCTTAGCTGAAGGACTGGGAAGCTCTGAATTAAATAATACTCCAAATAATTCTCCATAAACGTAGAACCATGCTTTATTCACTCCTCTGCCCCAGCTGTTAACACAGTCTATGGGCACTCACAAGTTATTCAACGAGCATGAATGAAATAACTCAGTGAATGAAGTAAGCTCTTCAAAATACCATCTACTCAATGGTTTCTTGTTGATGACATTATTGTGACTTCCAGTTTACAGCAAGAAAAGTGAAGGGATTTTCCCCTAAACAGCCAACAATGATGAAAGCCACGGTTATCAACACTAGACTACCTCCTCCCCTAGCTGTGCCCTCCCCCACTCCAAGGTGCTCTCACCATGGTTAGCAAGGTCTTCGTGGTATTTTTAATTAAATGTAAATATGTTTCTAAAATAGACTTAAAAATCCCCCTTCAAAAATGTGTTTATTCATACAAACCAGGAAGCGAAACCAACTTAATGATACATTTTAAACAAAAGTACTATCCCACAGTGTTTTGTTCATAGCCTTAAACTAGGTGAAAACATAAGAAGCCAACACTAGGTAGAAGTGGTGAAGAGAAAACCACAGCTGTGGTGATTTGAAATTTTGACGACAAGTTCTAAAGCTACAGAGAAAGAAAAGGCTACCAGGAGAGCAAACAGCAGTGCACACACTCAGAGGGCCCTGCCCACATCCACCCAACCCTCATGGATCTCAAGTCCCCAAAGAGTCCTAGGGGTTGGTCCCAAGTGAGGCACACTGAAGAAAAGTCTACCCCCTCCCCAGGCTCTCTCCTTTCTCCACACACACATAGTTTAACCTGGTTTACATTCCTCTCTCCCCCTGTGTCATGGAAGCTCACACACTGTTTTAAATGCTCTTTGTAGAAATAAAATAATAATTCTCAAGCCAACATTTATCAGGCAAATCCACATTCTCTTTGTCACACATTATATTCCCAGAGATGACTCCTGAAACACACCTTCTGAGTTTCTCTTCCTCACAACTTCTCTCTTCCAGTCTCTCTTAAGTTCATTTCATTTTTGAAGGTAAAGAGTATTTCTGTAGAATGAATAAATAGCCTCTGATTTATCTCTTGATTAAGTCTGGGTTTCCTTGCCTGCATTATTAATAAAATATCTGCCTGGCCTTGCAAAGAGCTAAAACAAAAGCAAGCAGCTTATAATGTCTTCCCCAGACTGTCTGCACTTACCAACATCCTAAGCATATTCTGACTTGATGTATCCATGCCTGGGGAAAGCCACGAAGTGGCCTTGGGAGTTGGTCTCTGTGTGCAGGCTGATTTCTTTTAGACTCAGCCTAATTTATTTCAGGGTTTGGTCAGTGGACTGATGTTAATTTGTCTTAGCTTGAAAACACTTAATTTGATAGTGGACTTGGGTGGCTTAAACCAAGGCAATTGGTTGTTCTCAGCCCAAGCCCCAAGCTGGGTATTTAGTGTTGTTGTTTTTTTCCCCCAGACCTCACATGGCTTGAATACCGTCATGCTAAGACATGACAGCCCCCCAGCTAAGGTCCCTGGGCAGCAGGCATGGCATGAGTTCCAGCATTTTCCTCCTCTCCTTTGCCACGCTCTATATAGCTCTCTTGCTGTTTCTCATAGGTCATGCCTGTTAGCTTTTCACAAGAAAGAATTAGTTATCATCGATCTCTGAGCCTGTTCTCTGAAACACACTGAGATCCTGAGATTTCCAAATGTTCACAAAGATACAGGTGAATACATAGACTTAGATCAGTAAATATTTGTAAGATGAAAGTAAGGTCACACCAGGAAGAAACAAGATACTGGTCAATCTCTCTATACAATAGTCTCTGTTATGTAAGAAACAGATTTAAAAAACAGCCTTTATTGTTGGAATTACTTTGTAAAATCTGGCATTTACTGAAAGTACTTTTCACATGTACTGTGTTGGCCAATGCTGTTGATTTATTTACTCAGACAGTGAGAAGAATGATACCTAAAGAATGTAAGAATATGGGATAAATCCATCCCTTGACCAAACCCACAATTCACATGGCAGACCCATTATAATCGGCACATAGCCTACTTTGCTTAGACAATGACATCTCGTCTAGCCACAGACAGGGCAAATATGTATTTTTTGTACTACAGGGTGGTCAGAGATTGACCCTGGTTGTCTGTGTTGTGTAGCATGTATGGATTTTAGGTTACTTTCTACTGAAATCAGTAAATCTTAATAGCAAGCAAAGGGCTGTACATTAGCTAATATTTACCAAGGTACTCTTAGTGGCCTGGCAAAGCAGGTGAATTCTATCATTGCCATTTTTTCCCCTCAGTGCTCTAGTATTCTTGTTCTGTAAAGAGTCTGTTCTCAGAAAATAGACTTTTTGTACACTTTCCAAACACTGAGTGTATGCTTATTGTGTTGGATTTCAAAAACAAATCAAACCTGCTCCCATTCTCAAGGGGCTTACAGTTGAATGAGGAAGTGAGCTCAGGAAACCAGCAATTACAATGTGGTATGGTGTGCATCTGCCCAAAGGAACACCTTTTCTAAAAGATCTCTATCAGATGGGTATCCACGCTCTGCCCAGTACTTCAGGGGACAGAAAAGTCACTGTCTTTTTGCATTCATTAATTTATTTTTCTATCATGATTCAACAATGTTGCTGCTAGTATGTGTGTCAGGCTCTGTGCTAGACTTTAGAGATGTGATCCTTTGCCAAATGGCACCTTCCTTGTCACTGAGAAGAAGATTCCAGTCAAGTGTGGGTGGTAGGCGATGTCAAGATGAGAGACAGTGGGAATGATCTGGGGAGCATATTTTTTTTTTTCTAAGATCTTATTTATTTATTTGACAGACAAATCACAAGTAGGCAGAGAGGTAGGCAGAGAGAGGGGGGGAAGCAGGCTCCCCACTGAGCAGAGAGCCCAATTGTGGGGCTTGATCCCGGGATCCTGGGATCATTACCTGAGCCAAAGGCAGAGGCCTTAACCCACTGAGCCACCCAAGCGCCCCTGGGGAGCATCTTATCTGACAGGCAAAGATGTGTTATCAAGGGCAAGACATGAGGATGGTGTTAGACTCACCTGTCATAGGCACTATAACTATTTGTTGAGCGATGACAAAGAAATCCATCAACCCATGCATCAAAGCAATGAGTTTGCTGTCACTTCTATGGGTCTTCCACAAATGGCAATATTTCAGAAGAGACACACCTGAGTGTGTAGTAACTAACCAACTGCACTGTAATTGTGTATGATCCAGACTCCGGGGCAGGAGAAGAAAGAGAGTGTGAGGGGCTGAGAGAGAAGCCAGGTGACTGTCAGTGAGACACGAGGCTGGAAAGGCAAGCAAGGGCCACACACTCGGTGGTGGAATGCCATGTGAGATATTTTCATTGTTGACTTAAATAACAAACCCGTATGAAGAACAGTGGTCCAGTTCTGCTTCAGGGATGACTCATGGTAATTCTAATGAAGTCTGAAGTCTATTCCGCTTATGGGTCCTTCAAATTCCTGAAAATAAGCATATTTTCCTCCTGGATCTCCTTCTTCCCGTAAAAATGCACCCTTCGTTTGCATACAACGTGAGTCTGCCTTGTTGTCAGGTGTCTCATCGCTTTACTTCCGTTGGGGACATTTCTCAAGAGTTGAGATTTTTATGTTAAATGTAGGACCCAAGAGTTCTGGGTCCCGAGTGCAGAAATCAAATGATTTTCTGTGGTTCCTTTGCAACCGTGGTGGAGGAGTTCAAGTTTCCATCAAATTTTGCTGCTTTGTTTAAACCAACAATCAACTGAGTCAACAAACATTGCCAACTAAACACAGCAAGGCACCGAATGGGATTCTGGGGCACAGTCTCAGCCTTCTCCGTTAACATAATCAAGCCAACGCTTGACTTATTGAACATTTACTATGTATCGGGTGCTAGGCTAGGAAACCTTTAAAAAGAGTTAGGGACCACAGCCCCTGCTCCCCAGTCCCTCACAGATAGGAAACGATTGGGTTATCGCAGTGGGGCAGGTTTGCTTCCCCAAAAGGCTTAAGTATGGGGTTTAAAGCAACCATCAAAAGAGGAGACCCAGCAGGCTGGGTGTCAAGTTTACGCTCTTCTGCACACAACTTCGCTAAGGTGCTCTGCACCTAGCTGCGAGGCAGAGCACTTCCTGTTTCCTATGGAAATGATCTCAAGCTATTGTAGGCTATCCACCCAACTGGGTTTGCAAACCCTCAGGCCCCTGACAAGCCCTGAGTCATCTAGCTCCCAGGCTACCCCCAGAACCTACAAGAGACAGAGGGCTGTTTCCCTTTCCTTCAGTAATTCCAGGAGAAGTCACTGCTGACGTCGTTAACACCATCAGACAGCTCACTTCTCAAATAGACCCTGGCAGGGCTGGTAGAAACCAATTTTCCTGGTCCTGTAGCTCTTAAAGGATATCTGAACCTCAGGACTCTTCCAGGCTAGATGTAGGAAAGCATTTCAGGAACATCTTACCTTTCCTTTGGGGTAAGGATTTTCCCAGATCCGGTCTACTGTGAAGCCACAAATCCACTTGTGTCCAGGGTGGGCACACAACGCAGGCCTTCCTAGGTGCCTGGCTCCTTCCCATGAAAAGAGTGTGGGAACGAGAGCCAGGGAATCACAAGGTTGAAGGGTGTTGGTGCTCTCATAAAGGACACCATGTTCTGTAGACTTCTCTGGAGCCAGCTGGGCCACCAGTATTACCGGAATAACTTCAGAAGTGTGCCAGTCATGGAGATTAAGAGAGGATGGGAGCACCTAAGCCAGGATGTTCATGGCACAGGTAATAACTAAAGGCAGCATGGCAGGTGGAAGGAATCCTAGCTTGGGTACGCAGAGTCATGGATTTGAACTCAGGCTCTGTCACTTAATGACCAGGTGACCTGAGAAAGCCACATAGTCCTTCTGACATGTGTCCTCACCTGTGAAATGGCTGTTAAAATATACTTTCCAAGACTAGAGTGTGTTCTCAGTGCAATCACATATGTGAAGTTCCTAGAACATAGCGATCAAACAATAAATAGTCAGAACTGTTATTATTAGGGTACAAATTTAAATGTGGGTAATAGTTTACCAGGCGTCACTGACCCAGGCCATTTGGAGTCTCTGCTGTGTGGAGTCAAATGGGCTGTATTGGAGACAACATCCAGGTGAAGGCAAAGACTTGTAGGAAAGTGACAAAGCTTCCCCAGAACATCACTGCCTATGAACCATATATCGAGCCGAAGACTTGGGAAAAGGGAATGTGTTTTTATAAAGGCTTTGCCTAGGACAAAGGCTTTGTCTGTGACCGCAGCAGAAGACTTATCTTGCAGAGGTGGAAAGAGGATAGAGGGTATGAGAATGATTCTTCACAAGCCTGCCCAGAGGTATGGCACCTGGAGCAACGCTGTCCTTCTCCAACCATAGACATTGACTAAGCCTTGATCGTTTTACTGAATATATACACATATGTCCTCTGCAAAGGGTTTTGGTGCTGCTAGGGGCTGTCCTGGTTGTCCCCACTAGGGTTCTGTGTTCTTCTGCTGAACACGAACAGTGTCACAGAACATCGATGTCAGATAAGGCCATTCTGTAATCATGCCTGAACACAGACAAAAACCTGAACATTGTTCAAACCAAAAAAAGACCCAAATCCCCCCATGTGGGCTATTAGAAGTGATCCGCTGCTTCTTTACAAATAATGACATTAGTTATCCACCAGTCTTCACCCGTTCTAGATGATAAGATTTATTGACATAATGACTCATAGAATTACTCTGAATTACTGATATCTAACCCAGAGCAAAGTATTGCTTCTTTAAATCTCCCCCAAGTCACATAACAAGCCCAAATCCTCTTTAACTGTGTCCTAGCCCTCAATGAGCCTCCCCACAGTTCTTCATGGTGTGTGTTCTCACCAGCTGCAAAAAGCCGATTTGTTACAGTACCGGGGTCTTCTGGAGGCTCTTCAGCTGACACATTGGCACCACTAAAGGACAGAAGAGCACGCAGAACAAAAGGTGTAACTAAGAAGGTCATAAAGCCATTTTACAGGCCATATGTTCACTTTATACATTTGTTCGCTTTTGTATCCGGATGTGAATAATCAAGGAAATAACCAAATTTAAATACAAAAAGTCACAAAGAGGAGTTAAAATTTTTCAGACACAGGTTTTCAAGTCTCTCTAGCTGTCTTGCTTACCACAACCATTGGTCGCCCTGAGATAATTACACTCTCACTGCAAAGACCTCTATTTCC